TGGGTTGCGCTACAATGTGAAATGGAGCGTTAAAACAAAAACTTATTCCACCCAACAATTTATGACCATTTTCCCAGATCTTGTTGTGTGTTATATGAGGCCATTGTTATTGTACCTTGCCTGCCATGATCGTGCACCAGATGCATGTCTCTCGTTGTAATCCGAGAAATATACCATTATTATTATTATTATTATTATTATTATTATTATTATTATTATTATTATTATTATATGCCTTCCTGGATAACTTCGAACACCCCTGATGGTACCAGAGTTGACAACGATCGCAATGTATACCCTCGGCAGTATGTTTGCTGCATTTACCACACTGATTTGCAACTTTATAAAATATAAATATAAATAAACATAAATTGCAAATGTACACTAAAGGTTTCTTTCACACTATAAAAGATAAAAATAGAACCCAAAAAGTGTCGTGGACAGTAAGCATTAAAACCGTGTAAAAAAGAAAAAAGGATTTCACTCCTCAAACCTGACCAACAAGACTGTGGAGTGAGCTTTTGAATGGTCACAATGGTAAACAATTACCTCAGTTGAAACTAAGGCAGTGACACTGATGCGGAATATCGTTATCGGACAGGACAAAACACAGGACTGGTGGCAGAGCCGGATGGAATCCAGTTTCTTGCACCAGGTGAGCTCGAGGTGGGCGAAACGGTGCTTCTACAGTCGTTTGTGTGAGAAGGCCTTCGCCTGTGAAGTGTCCTGGTAGTGGCGTGTTCTGTTTTGCGAGTTGGTATTGTTGTCTTGAAGTCTTGAAGTGCTTCACGGGTTCAATGTCCAATGTCCAGTTTACTGGCGGAGAAAGCTCGTTGGATTGTAGTTTTGCCTACTTCTTGATCTACATGATAAAGTCTGATGTTCGGAAATTTCTGTTTTGAATTCGTTTATTCTTGTAATCTGAAAGTGTAAGCAAAAAGAAGGTTAGTAGTTTACTTGTTGTCGGTGTAGCAGGTTAGTTAACTGTTGTCAGTTAGCGGAACCGAATCGCATGCCTTACCATCGGCGCTGCGTGGACAGTCCAGAGGTCCACCTGACATTACTTCGCGGTACTCAAAGTTGCTGTCCACTGCCGAGGTGATGCCCACGGCGAATTTATCTAGTCTTTGCTTGAAGCACGCTGTCGTAGGCGCAGAGACCACTTCCTCGGGTGGTGAGTTCCAAGCGGATGTGGCCCGGATGAAGAAGTGTAACCGTCTGCTGTTGGTACTACTCTGCTGGTGCAAGATAGTCTTAGAGTGTCCTCGCAGGTGTCGGTGCGATGATAGGGCTATTAGTTCGCTGTTTAGGTGACTCTATTTTTTGTATCAATATTAAGTCCCCTCTCAGCCTCCTGTAAGAAAAGGGTGAAGAGGTTGAGTTGCTTAAGTCTAACTACGTAGCTCAGTTGCGATAGCCCGATGACTCGCTTGGTGGCTCTTCTCTGAACCGCTTCCAATGCTTTAATGTCTCGTACTAAGGTTGGGGGACAGGCTTGGATGTTTCATTCACGGTGGGGTCTTACGTAGGTGCTGTAAAACATTCTAAAGCATTCGGGTTCCAGTCTTCCCAGGTTTCGGATAATTAGGCTCTGCACTAGGTTGCCTCGTTTCATTAGCTTAGCGCAGTTTTGTGAGAAGCTTGGACGATCCGACAGAACCGATCCTAGATCTGATTCCTGTTTAGCTACCGTCAGTGGCACAGAATTAAGGTAGTATCTGCTGTCCGTTTTTCCTCTGACGTGTAGTACATGGCATTTTGACAGATTTAAGGGGAGACCATTTTCGATTCCCCATCGTCCGATCGCATCTAGGTTACGTTGGAGGATTACACTGTCCTCCTCGTTTCTGATACTGCGCCAGATCTTGACGTCATCCGCGTACGGGAGACAAAGTTGTTAGTAGTCCCACCAAGTCGTTGATAAACAGTATGAAGAGCAAGTGGCCTAGTATGGGTCGTTGTGGTACTCCACTAAAGACTAAGTGGTGGCTTGAAAGCTCCCTATTGACCCTCACCTGATACCTACAATCACGTAAGTAGTCTTTCAACCAGCTTAGTAACCTTCCCGTTATGCCACACTGGATGAGTTTGTCGCATAATTTTCGATGCGGTACCTTGTCGAAGGCCTTGAAGAAGTCTAGGAATATAACATCCACGCTGTTCTCCATGTCTGCTTCTTTAATCCAATCATCTGTCTCCGCTAGGAGGTTTGTTAAGCACGACCCGCCTTTGCGGAATCCGTGCTGCTGTGCGTTGAGGAAATTGGAGACTCTAAGAAATTCTCTTATTCCATCGTTTATTATGCTTTCCATTACTTTTGAAAGTATGGTAAGAAGGGCTACCGGACGATAGTTTTCGAGGTTTGTGCGGGATCCCGATTCGTATATTGGAGTTACAATGCTGACTTTCCAGTCACATAGGAGTTTTCCAGTGCTCATGGCGGCCGTAAACAGTTGTTCGAGGGGGGCATTTAGAACCCCTGCGCAACTTCCAGCATTAGGTTGAGCGATAACATGCATGCTTAATCTCTCCCTCTCTCATCAACTAGGAGCCTACTTAGACTGTTTCCCGTTTCCGGTTTCCTTTCCAGAGATCTGCTGCTGTCAGAATAACGGCGAATTCCGTCGAATCGGACCGATATGCGACGGTGAAGCAAACGGAAGTATAACTGAAAAACCAAAACAGGATACTATGTAATCTATCGACTGGACCGTTTTGCTAAACAAACTCAATGTGAGTGTGTAGGCCCACGCGCAGTGACCCTATGCCCCGTTTTTTGATCAATGATAGAAGACTTAGCGAGGTCTGAAAGCACTTTTCCCCGTCCTGACCTGCTCACCCTCGCCCAAACAGTGATGTCACTCAGAATCTAGTCGTACTGGCATGATCTTATATAACCGTACTTTACAAAACAAATCTCCCAGCACATACAAATACAAAAAACTTTCAAAAACTCCATCCATTACGGCTTTGTCTCTGTTCACCTCCATAAGATGAACGTTTGACATTTTCACTGTATCCGATACTTGCCATTTTCATTTCTCGTCCATTATTGAACTAAATCCTGAATAACACGACTCATTGACATGTGTACACATTTTAAATTATTCCAATTGCACCGCGTGACTTTTCTGCTCTATATTTCCTCATCTACAGAACCACAAACTGTCAGAAATGTGCTGCTTTGCTCATGTTCCTTTTTATCAATTCCCAAATGAACCAAATATCCATTGACCGTTTTTGGGTTCTCCTTGTTTGTCGCGCGCAAAAATAATCACCCTCCGCTGTATTTTAACCCCATCAACTCTGTCGACCCAAATGTTCTACCATTTATTGCACAAAATGATGGTGCACCCCAGCAGGTCTCACGACTTCTGTCGTGAAATATACCATTGTTATTTTTATAATCCCGTTCACTAAACAGTATGCTGCCAACCCAGTGGCACTGACATTGCGGCAGCCAACGGTACGCCTATCCAAACGTCTGGACAGCAGCAACTGAACTTTAACCTATGCTTAAGACGCGTCTTACCTTGGGTTTTTTGGTCGCTTGGATTCCTTACATCATAAGTGGCCTAGACAATTTACAGCACCACGGTATAATCGTAGATCCCCGTAAGCAACAAATTAGTGATCCAGTCACTTCTACAGTAGTCGTCGGTTTCCTGCTATATTCGGAAACGCAGAATATACATCTCCCTTTTCCATACGGTGATTCGCCATATTCATCGTTATTCCACGAGTTCCCTAGCCTCATCCGCCTAAGTACCCAGCTGCCATCTATCAAGACAGAGGTGTTGCACCATATCGTCATTCGCGGTCTACCGGTCAACGCAAGTGCCTGTCGACTAGCACCAGATAAGTTTTGCACCGCACGCGCAGAAAATTAGCATATGCTAAACATGCGCATTATACGCCCTGTAACGACCAAAATGCGATTGTCCTGGTCAGAGCGAAACGAAAAAGACCTCGTCTGTATGCGTTCAACCAAATGACACTTCGCTCTTTCTGGATAGCGATAAACAAATCTCAGAGCAACGCGTAGCCCAAATTATCGAGAAGCAAGTCAGTAAAAAAATAATCTACGGTACTACTTTTGCATTAATCACAAATACATAAGACAGTCATGCCTCTGATAGTGAGCCTGATTCACTATCCAGCCAAAATGTTACAAATATTCACAGAAAATATCTGCGATAATAGAAATAAATAAGAAAATGAGTGATTTGAATTACTTTTCAGATAATTCTGGACCAATAGGAAAATTCTGAGCGCTTCAACAGATCAAGCAGAATAATCTTCAGCGTTACAACCGGAAGCAACGGTTAGTCCAACAAAGAGCGTTTAATCGAAACTTTGGTCGCAATAAAACAAGAAAAAGCACTGAATCCCATTTACATGTAGTAGCAAAGCAGTTGAAGTGTGTGTCCAATAGATGGGCTTTACCGTAAAACAGGTGAAATAGAAGGTTCAGAATAGAAAACTCACTGACATGAAAACCACTGTCAGAAAGAATGCGCGATAGAATGGTAAAGATAAGGAAATGTAAGATAATTGAGAGAAGTTTACTGTCCTTTTGTCTGCTACACTCCCCGCCTTATAATAAGTACCCGATCCTCCACATCACGGATCTCACGTCAGATCTAGCCGGTAGTCATCGTCCAGCCTGATCGACCTGGTTCGTGCATGCAACCAGGTACCGGTAGCAGAAACCGAGATACCCAAAACAGCCGTGGTCACACCGTTTGGTCCATTCGAATTCCTCCGAATGGCGTTCGGTGTAATCAACGCAGTCCTTCCAACGTTTCACTGACAACGTTTGTAGAGGTTTAGACTCGGATTTTGTTTACTTAGACGAATTTGTAGTGGCTAGCCCATCGCGCAAGGAACATCTGGCACGCCTCCGAGCACTTCTTGATCGTCTGGCACAGCACAGTGTCACTGTCAACGCACAAAAATCTGTCTTCGATGCCTCCAACATTGTTTTTTTTTGGTTACCGCATCACAGTCACTGGTATTCAGCCAATAAGTGACAAAATTTGAGGGAATAAACTACCCGGAGTCCACCACATTTAGGCATCTCCAACGTTTCGACGGTTTAGTCCACTTGTATCGTCGTCTCATCCGACAGCGTGCACAACTTATGCAGCCACTCACTGATCTACTTAAAATTAATCTAAATAAACCAAACCACTCGTTGATTGATTGAAGCTCCGAACCCAATGAACTTATCTCCAAAAGCGAGTTGTATTGCAGCATAGAGTGAAACATGTTCTTTTAACGACGTATTATTCTGCTGTGTTCCTCGCCTTCTATTCCTGTTCTCATGCATCTACCATCGAGCAGAATTTGTATTACAGACCTCCTCTTCGTATTTCCCACACTTTTGCCTTACGGCCAATCCTTTCGAGACCAGCTTTACTATTACTTGCAGTTCTAGTGACATGTATTTTTTGATGCATCCTCCATTCTTCATAAATTCGTCTATAACCTTGTCTGGTTTGTGTTCATTTCACTCTGTGTTTTCGTTCTAATCCCCACAATTTTTCAAATGATTGTCTACCTATGTACTTACACTGTTATTGTACGTATACTCGCTCTGAACATCTGATCATGCCTTGTGCATGTCTCACGGGCTTTGTGAAATATACACCTATTATTAATATTATACTTAGAGGTAAATCAAAAACGTTAGCGTTGACACAAGCCGCTCGAGATGCCTTCAGTGCGTTGAAATGAGCAATCAGAAACGTAGCA